ATCTTTCAGTGAGTATTTTGGTTGTTTCAATCACGGTATATGGATTGCATGTTTAAATATCGCTAAAATATAGAACTCTCAATATATAGATACTTTGATAATCAACGCTATCACAATGACATTCAGAACGGAATATCACTATTGGCATTTCTTTAGTATGTCCATACAAGTCCCTACAATAGGCTTAACACTCAGGCTTTCTCTAAATTGAAGGTGATGTAGACTGTGTTTATTCACATGTTTATAAATCTTTGTAATTAAATTACATTCGGGACAGTATACCACCATTGACATTTTTGGGTTCGGGTACTCTGTTAGTTTTGAAACTAAAATAAAGCAATTCAGCTTAGATTATTACCACAAAGTACTCAGATTTCTCAGGTAAATTATTTAGTATTATTTATATCAAGATGTAATGGTCAATCAATCATCATGAATAGAACCATGTAACGTTTACCGAATGTTTTATATATTTAAGAAACAAGGCTGTAGCAGAAGAAGTGTTAATACCAATGAAGATATCATGCATTTTTAAATATTTCTTAAGCTCACTTTCTCTTAGGGAAACAAGTGCGTAAGAAAAGTTATTTGTTGAAACAAATCCATCACTGGTGCTACTCAGTGGTGTTATCTTACCTGTAAAAGAAAACTTCCTAGGCCTCGTTTCCGAAATTTTTTCCGAACCGCTAAGAATGATAGATAGACAATCTTGGCACCAGGGATCCTACATTATAAAGACAAAACTGTTTCTCAGAATTTCTCTTATGTCGTTACACTTTTAACTCGTGTAAGTTCAAGGACATGGAAGTTTAGAATAGACACTTAAAATGTTATAATAATATATATAGTTGGTTTGTTGAACTTCGCGAAAAGCTATTCGACGTGTAAGTTCCAGGACATGAAAGTTTAGAATAGACACTTAAAATGTTATAGTAATGTATAGTTGGTTTGTTGAACTTCGCGAAAAGCTATTCGACGTGTAAGTTTCAGGACATGAACGTTTAGAATAGACACTTAAAATGTTATAATAATGTAAAGTTGGTTTGTTAAACTTCGCGAAAAGCTATTCGACGTGTAAGTTTCAGGACATGAACGTTTAGAATAGACACTTAAAATGTTATAGTAATGTATAGTTGGTTTGTCGAACTTCGCGAAAAGCTATTCGACGTATAAGTTCCAGGACATAAAAGTTTAGAATAGACACTTAAAATGTTATAATAATAATATATAGTTGGTTTGTTAAACTTTGCGAAAAGCTATTCGACGGATACATGCGCTGTCCGCCGCCAACACTTGTCAGACCGAAATAATAGGGTTTGACTGTCTTTCGTACAACGAACCCACGATACATAACCCACGTTTTCGCTTGGGTGGCGCGAACCAAGGAACATCAGATCCACTGTCCGGTACACTAGCCGCTGGACCAGTCTAAACCCTTTTATACCGAGAAGTTGACAAAATGATAATAACAATATCCTGGTGACTCGGACATAGGTTTGAGAGTTTATAACTTTATTCAGAATTATGTCCCTGCGATGGATATAGCGCAGATAGCCCATTTTACAGCATTGCGTTTAATAACAAACAAAAGTTTTAATATTCCCTAATCACAATCTGTTGATCGTAAAGCAACAATATGAATTTATCGTACACTGAATATAAAGTTCTTTTGATGCAATAATAAAAAAACTAACCATCCTAATTAATGACATAAAATGCACTACAATATTTGTTTTCTTCCCCAAGTTTGAACACGTTTCTGTAATTTTTCTGTAATATTTCACATTTTAAAGAACCTTCAACTGTAGCAAATGTGTTGTAAACTAATTGGGTTGATTTTCAACAAAATTTAAGTAAATATGGGAATTCTAGTGCCAGTAATAAAAAACTTAGTGTGTGTTTTTTTTAGAGCTGTAACAATATAATATTCGTTGTCATTGTTTATGAACACTGTGCACGAGTCCCTGTAAAAGTTAACGAACTTTGACGCTCTGTGTATTAATAAAACACCTTCATTACGAAGCTAGTTTGAATTAACTTTCTTTGACAATAATTATAATTGCTTTAGATGTTTTAACCGTAAAATTATCGATGGACCCCCAAGGGCTTTTTATTAACTTTTGTCTAAACTATTTATGCATTAAATTGCTTTGTAGGTTGTACGTCCTCTAATAAAATATGAATCACACAATTTTATTAATGAAAATACCATCAATGTTGCCAATAATCCCCCTAATTACTGTTAAGGTCTCTTTTGTATTTCATACATAAAATGAGTGATTTCACACAGTAGTTTTGGTCACTTTTTTACGCTGAGTGTTGTAACAGATGAAAACACAAAATTAATCGGTGTGATGTTTTGTGGACAAGTCGATAACAGTGATGTTGTATATAATGTTTTACTTTTTATTTCTTTTTGTGTGTGTGTGTGTGTTAAGATGATCGTTTCCTAGTCGTATAGGCAATGATTTTCTTAAATTAACTCTAGTACCTAGTAATGTTTAGTTCTCTTTAGAAACTACGTGAACAAAATGCAGCTTTCAGAGTTAAGTGTACTCAAGGGAAACAAATACGTTGAATCCACATTGAGACAATATCGTTTAATGAAAAGGAAAAGCAAACACCTGTAATTTTTCTGGAAGGTGACACTAGCAATGAGCTTATGTTCCATTCCGACTTGTGTCGGTAGTAAAAAACCCATCTCTACGGATATCATTCGCTCTTTTCTTCTGGCTGCTACTGCTTTCAGGAAGGCTTCAAGGCCTCGTGAAAGGTCATCACCATCCTCCTCCTCTTCCATGTCACTACGTATAGATTATGGAGTGGAATTACTTAGGCAAGAGTAAATTTTTATTTAAATAATCTTCTGTTCGGACACTTACACCGTTGAAAATTTCGATACCCGTGGTAAGCAGAACACATTGCGTAGCTTTGTGCTTAACTTCAAACAAACAAAAATATAGTGTACAAAATGATATACCTATTGTGGATATATGGTAAACCTAGTGACGGGGATTCGATCCCGCGACCCTCAGATCGCGAGTCAAGCGCCCTAACCACCTGGCCATGCCGGGCCAGCTGACTAATCAACCTATTGTAGCTATATGATAAACCTATAGAAGCTAAATAATAAACCTATTGTAGCTACATGATAAACCTATCGTGGATAAATGATAAACCTATCGTGGATAAATGATAAACCTATTGTAGCTACATGATAAACCTATCGTGGATAAATGATAAACCTATCGTGGATAAATGATAAACCTATCGTGGATAAATGATAAACCTTTCGTGGATAAATGATAAACCTACCGTAGCTAAATGATAAACCTACCGTAGCTAAATGATAAACCTATCGTGGCTAAATGATAAACCTATTGTGGCTAAATGATAAACCTATTGTGGCTAAATGATAAACTTATTGTGGCTAAATGATAAACCTATTGTGGCTAAATGATAAACCTATTGTGGCTAAATGTAACTGATAATGCTCATTGTCTTCACTGTTGATTTATCTCTCCTCCCTCCTCCCCTTGATAAAGCTTACTTCTATTTTTCCATACCAACTCCAAAGTGATAAGGTAAAAACAGCTTTTGGAAAATTTTAAATTAAGAAAACAACAAAACATTAACTTAAACAACGTGTGAAGAATATAAAAAGAAATACAAAGAATCAATTCAGGGATGACTGATTAAAAACCAACAAAATTATTTTATTCGAAAACTTCTCTTAAGTCTATAAAGAACCTTCGTTGCTCATTAGCATGTAAACTCTCATCCGTTTGTGAAACTTTGCTGATTAGTTAACAAAATGTGAATCCTTTTCTTTGAGTTAATTTTAAAATTTAACTCTAACATAGAGAATTATTAGTAAAGTAATCTTCTTATTAACTAACTGTATGAAATATTTTTAGATGTAGATCGCTTTTCATATTTCATGACTTATCGGAGAGTTGGAAAAATAATTTCCACATTCGCTGAATTATCAAACGTATGTGTAAGTACTTTCCACATTCGCTGAATTGTCAAACGTATGTGTAAGTACTTTCCACATTCGCTGAATTATCAAACGTATGTATAAGTACTTTCCACATTTGCTGAATATTCAAACGTATGTATAAGTACTTTCCACATTTGCTGAATATTCAAACGTATGTATAAGTACTTTCCACATTCGTTGAATTATCAAACGTAAGTATAGGTACTTTCCACATTCGCTGAATTATCAAACGTTTGTATAAGTACTTTCCACATTTGCTGAATATTCAAACGTATGTATAAGTACTTTCCACATTCCCTGAATAATCAAACGTATGTATAAATA